ATCATCGAATTGTTTGATAAGTCGAGACATAGGCCCCTAGCCTTATTGGTACTTACGGTTGGCTGTTTTCCGAATATGTCATGGATCTTGGTCACTGTCTTGACACCAGTAACTCAACACCTTGTGAGTACCCACAAACACCGAGTGGCCTGCCAACAGGCTCTACCAAAAGGTGGACGCCTGTCAGTCAGTTGTTCACCGCTATCAACTGTGCCACGAAGCTGACGGCGGGCATCCTGAACACCTACACAAGATTATCTTGTTCACTAAGTGTCAATGTTGACGTATGTAATGGTTTAGCTTATTAAAATGTGTATTTGATTTACTGAATGCGTGTATCTTTCTGGGACACATTGCAGATTATTAATGACATACCAAAGAGAGTTAAATTTTTGCACGAATACACGAGGCAGTTCTAAAATGCCCCTCGCAGTAAACGCTCGTCATCTGCGCGATACAAAGATGGGATTATCACACAAACAGTCGGAAGCTGCTCAGACGTTGACCAACAATTAAGCAAATCACAGTCCTGAACTTTTTAATGTAACAGCTGGAGGCCAACTCATCATAGAAAAGTAAACCCCATTGCCATGGTAACGAATGGGAGGGGGTCTGTGTGGGAGGTACAGTGACCCTGCAGCTTGTGTAGCTGCCGGTAATAGCGGGGGGTTCCTATCGACTCTGTTACGTTGGCTGGAAACACGGCTGTGGAGGAAACGGGAAAGATTACCAATGTTCCGGTATATCAACACTTTAAATTATATACTCTTTGTAAAATTAAAAGCAAACCGAGTAGAGTCCATCATCACAAAGTTACTTTATAATTTAAATCAAGCAACAAACATGCCACTTGGAGCATCGGTCACTGCAGCGTCATCACCTGTCCAGTTCTTCTCGACTTCGGACCTCCGATACCTCACGTTCGATAAGCGGGGATTATCGACTGGGTCCCGAGGTCATCACTTCTCTAATCTGTGCTCCGATTGGGTCCCGGCCTCCTACTTCCTCCCTCCACACTTCAGTTCAACTTAGTTTAGCTTAGATCAGGTTAGGTTAGGAAAGCTGAGATGAGGTTAGGCTAGTTAGATTAGATCATATTATGTAATTAAGTTCGTTTAAGTTATACCAGGCTACGTCATGTCAGGTCTGGTTAGATTAGGTTAGGTTATGTCAGGTTAGGTTCGGTGGAAAACAGTGGAGGGCTAATAATTGTGAGGCATGTCGTTTTAAATTAATAATAAATCGATGTGAGCTGATCACCTCGTTTCGAACAATTTTCTCACGGGACCCAATAGCAAATCAATGGCTGTCGTTGAGAGCCTGCATAAAGAGAAGAACGTGCTCCAATGCATTCTATTAAACTTCAATCCACGTCTGCTCCTCAGAGTAACACACACAATCAATGTCGGAACTTTAATAAGGGTTGTTATTTAACAGATCACAGGTTTTGTTGACGAATACTTTTATTTTCGAACTGACAGTACTTTAGAGTAATTAGAACGTTTATTTTCTCAACTCGCTGCAACTGTAAAAAATGAACCACAATTTTAAAGTTGATCTATAGGAGAAAAGGGGAATTTGCTTCATGTTTCATGCACCTACGCTTTGGGGTAATGTTTTTTTTTGTGAGAGAAAATGTTTAAACATAAACCGAGAGAAATTCCAAACATGCATTTGGTATACTCCATGCTTAGTTTAAATGAACTGCTCATCGTTTTGTTTAAGGAAAAAAATGAGGTGAAAGAATATATGACAGGGAAGGTATACAACAAAAAAGTATTTCTGGAGCAATCCCTAATCCTCATAACTGCTGAGGAAAAAAAAGTTGCATTAAGAACGAATGCACACAAAATTAGGTTCAGTATAGACGACTTTAGAAGCAACTTGACTTTGAAAACCCAACAACTACACATTCGCCCTGAAGACGGCATCTGAAATGTTTGTCGAAACGTTGAATAATTTTCAACATTCGACGGAGCTTTTTCCCAAAAGCAGAAGTTGCAGAATTGCTAATGAGGTCCATCATATTGTAACGTATAGTGACTTAAGTCACCGACGACTTGAGCTATTTAAAAACAATTATTGTCAAAGACACCGGTCAATAACATTTTTTTTCAGAATAAGAATCAAGTTACAGTGGGTAGTGAGCCGGATATTTTCGGAACACAATCGAACGCATGCAGGCGCAGTGATACCGATGCAAAGATATATTGAAGACATTCCTCAGTACGAAAAGCGACTGAAGCAGCTACTACTTCAGGTAGAATTCCTTATACACAATGATACAAAGAGAATATTCCATAGACTATTATTAATGTGAACATAAGGAAAAACATGAGACCTTTGCCCATTCCTTAAAATTTTGTCTTTATTTCACATCGAATGTTTGGGCTGTAAATGCTGACGGCAGCTATAACACGCCAAATACAGGTGATTAAGAGAGTAAGTGTGGATTCGTTGCGAAGTAAACTTACATTTATTCGGAGACCAGCCGAGTGTCGAGTCAGAGATGAAACCCCTAATTTAGGACCGAGTGTCTAGTAATATGCTGTTTCGTAAGGGCTATCGCATAACTTTTAGAGCTTAAAACCCGGAGGAAAACTTGCTACAGTGTCAATTCGTCCACAACGTACACAGACCTACTAAAGTACTCGGTGACAAATTACACGGGTACTGCAATTTGAATGTCCTTAATATGTACTAAGAACTCTGTTCTCTTACTCATTTGCTGTTTTTCTAGCCATCATTATCATACCAATGATTCAGTATAATATATGCCTTAGCCTACAATTTAAGAATAATTTTAAAAGTTCCGAAACGTTCTTTGATTAGCTGATTCTTTCATGGTTGAAACATTTTGTCACACACTAAACATTATGCGTCCTATTAAAATCTATTCATACACCATGCTTTAACGCAGCACTACAGGGGACATTTAATTTAATTAGATTTACTGCGTTAGTTGCGACAGAGGAATAATTTAAGACCATTCTCAATTTATTCGTCATGGGGCCCAAACCTAAGTTTCGAAGAAGGGACTATCGAATACGTTACTGTGCATCTCATTAGGTCCCGCAGATGGACCGTCATTTGCATAACAGGGAGGCATTTCATTCCCTGAACATAGAGGCATTAAATCTGAATATCTCCCTTAGTCCTACATTCTGTGTGGCTGGGTCAGAAATAGATTAACAACTACAAAAGCTCGGAAGCTCTTCTTCGGTATGGAAATGAAAACAAAACAGAGTTGTCAAGAACATTCCTTGCTCGTTCCATGAAATAAGTAGCCATATTGGGTAGCTTTTAAGAGACTTCAATTTTAACGGCTGCAACAGTCGAACGCGTATTATGACTAACCATCCGTTTGTATTAATTTATGCTGTGTTAGATTCCTTATCGTCCGCAGTGGTATCTGGCATAATACGTGTGATACGTGACGTAACATAACCAAACCTAAACTAACAGATTCACACCAAACCCTGACATAATCCAGTATAAATTAACCCATTTAGAGCAACGACAATATACTAGGATACAAAGAATGAGATGCGCATGTGCAAGAGAAATTGAAGTTGTTGTTAACAGCCTTTACCGACGTCAGTGATTCACCGTAGAGGATTATTTTAGCATTTAAATTTTCGCATTAATAGAAGATGGCACATTGTTTATATCAATCTCAGAAAACGACGCTGACGCCGAAGTTGGCGCCAAGAACAACGATGACGTATATTACGATGTTCGTGACGCCGATACACTAACACAAGTGCGTGCCCCCATGAGACAGAAATTGAAACTGTACTTGAAAATCTGAAAATAATAATGAACGTTTGGGAATTTTAGGCTAACTAAACGACTATTAGCTTTTCATATATTCTGCTGACATATGCTTTATCACGGCGTGATACGTTTGCACAGAATTATAGTAACTTGATATTTTAATAATCTTTGTAATAACATTATTTATAGCCTATTTCTCATTATACCCATGATATACAATTTAAAAAGGCATTTGGAAAATCTAGGAGTACAACTTTTCAATCTTGGAGTGCCTCTAACCGACAGACGAAGGAAAATGTCTAAGAGTATGTGTCATTTGTACTTTCTTGTTTAACCTATTGTATTATACATAAACAGGTTCTGACAACCCCCGTATGCAAGATTTGAGGTTTTCACAGCGGTGAGTATGAAGATTTCTGTCTTCTGGGTTGTTGCGCTGTATAGTCTGGTCGATGTTTACCAACGTTTCTGAGGTCATACAGCCTCCGTCATCAGGGCGATAGAAGATTCTGTCTTCTGGGTTGTTGCGCTGTGTAGTCTGGTCGATGTTTACCAACGTTTCAGAGGTCATACTGCCTCCGTCATCTGGGCGATTCAGAAATCTTCAATATGTGTCATATCTACTATCTTGTTTAACCTACTGTAAATAAAGAGGTTCTAACAACCCCCCCCCCTATGTACTCAATACGTCACAACTACCCGTCAAGAATGACGGGAAAATGGAAAGTGAACACAAACCGTCATAAATATTATCCCTTAAGATCCAGATAATCACCGACCAACAATTTCTTTTACATAGACAGATTACATCCTTGCAGGAAGCAATGCGCGTTGTTTCCAACAGAAAATGAATCGTCTTTCAAGTCGCTCTCCGTGAAATGAAAATTAGGATCGAAACCTTTTTTGCGGAAGCCATCTAGTGTAATCAGCAGTGTCGAGAAGTTGCGGGGGTGGCTGTGAGCGGAGTGAGACCAGATAACCGTGGGTGAGAGTGACAACGAGGTGTGTGTGTGTGTGCAGCGCAGATGTGAGCGGGCGGGCACACTTTACAGTACGCGTCGAGACGTAGAGATAGTCAGTCGATTCGTCAGTCGCGCTGTGAGCGTTCCTACTGCACTAACAGGATAAAAGGTTATCAGTATCGTAACACAGGTGTTTTAACGTCGCCTCGGAAACTCTCTGCTCTTTGCGTGCTTTAATGCGGCACCGCTGAGTGTATAATAAAGTGTCGCTAACATGTGAAGTGCTGGGACTTTTAACGCAAGTTCATCTCATTTTCCGTAATAGAAAATGAGACAATATTTTCAGTAAGCGGACACAATAAATGGCCTAAAATAGGTAAATACAATATTTACAATTCTATCAGACAGTACTGATGGTTGCTGTAATTTCTTAAAATTATACTTACTGGTGTTGCAACTCTGAGTGTATTTTATCGTAATTAATTGAATTCTGTTGACCACTGCTATCATTACTCTAAAACAGGACCTTATTTGAAGAAGATTTTACATATTCTTGATTCCTGCTTTAGTAAACGACAGTTCTATTCAACTGAATATACTGAAAAGTATGATATCGTGGCCTATTTTAACATACTATTGCAGAGGAAAAATGCCATGAAAATTTTAAGTCTTTGTTTTTTTTAACCTGGGACGTCACAAATACGAAGCAGTGGTGTTTAACTCGACCGCGACTTTAGTTTTTACGTGTTCAAATTCCTTTGTAATGTCAGAACGCCATGAGAGGATTTCGTTTGAAAGAAGGATCTCATGATGAATGGGAAAATATTCATGTGAGAACTACAACCAATCACCCAGAGACGTTTCGAGAATTCCAATACTCGAAACGTTGTGTATCAGGCAGTGGGCTGTGTTAACCGGGCAAAATCAACAGTAAGTGTTAACAGTATAAATCATTCGGCTTGTGTAAATAATATTTAAACATTCAGTTCCTACCGCAAAGAAAACTACGCGTCTCCGTTACAAAGATAAATTTGTTAATGCTGTTTATGGAAATAATGACTGTTTATTCTGATAATGATATGAAACCTATTAATCACTGTGGGGAAAATTCTGAGTTATTTGTTATTACAGCAGGTGGAATATATAGTCACCACTGTGCTTCAAATAATTAATCTGACTGAGTAATATTAAATACTTAATTAGGTACTTATTAGCGTGATGACATACTAACACTTAGAATGCAAGAAATGTAACAGCGCGCTTCGGTACCCGCAATCTGTCTGTGACCTGTTTCTTCACCTCCGAGGCCGGAATGCAGTTGTTACAGTAATATTAGGACATTCCTTCGTACCTAAACGTGTAAAAAAACAATGGGATTTGAGGTTCTCACGGCAAAGTCCCTGAAGATGGAGGCAGTATCTTCCTCCGAAATGTAGGCACCTATCGACAAGTCCACACGGCTTTACAACCCAGAAGACCAACAGAGCAGATTTACTCTAAGTCCAGCATAAAGGGTACGTTATGTAATGGAATAATCCTTTTAATTATTTAGTGTACACGTACAATCTTTTTAAACATTTTAATTTATATGTGTGTAATAGAATAGCATTTACGATCTACTGTTTGTGTGTGTGTTTTACACATGATTGATCGTGTTGTCAGTAATGACTCTACATGGAAGAATGTTTTTTTTACAAGTGCTGCTAAAATTAGCTCATTTAAAGAAGTGCTTCTAATATGGGGCACGAAAACGTTTCAAATAAAGCACCTACTGATAATCTTCATCGTTGTACGTAGTTTGTAGGGATGAGAAATAAAGGAGAAAAGGAAAAGGGGAGATTAAATAGATAAAAGGAAGAAACGAGATAGGGGTAAAAATCGAAAATAAAAACGATATCATTCATTGTTCGTTGAATTTCAAGGGACCTTTAATAAACCAAACTTTCATACGCTAATAAAAGTTTTCGGGTGTAAAATATAATTTTTTTTCTTACATGGAGATTTTTGAATAGTATAATCAAAATTTCGTTTTTCAAATATCGGGAGTCACATAAAACTTTAGAACCTACATTAACTGGCGCTAGAGTTATTCTCACGTTTCTATAACAGCCACGTTGCCATCGTTATTCCCAGAGCGTTATAAAGTGCTGAGACAGCACTATATCCAGTGGGACGATGCTCATGCCTAGTTTCAAAAAAAGCGGTCAATTAGTGCCAAATACTGATATTTCTGTTACAATAGTTTACGGATGCAACTATTCGCTGCTCTAAAATGAGCCAGTCTGCAAAAGGCCCACGTGGTGCAAACAAACAACACGACTTCAGGCTCGTTACGTAAAGGTGGATTAATGAATATGCATTTTACGTCATTTAAGGAGCGTGAAAAGATAATATTTAAGTGCAAGTACTTTAACCTTAAGCGATAAGAAGTTTATTACATTTTTCCACTAAGAGGACGGACGTTGCCGCTGTAGATTGAACGTGGCGAATACTGTGCAGTCTCTCGCTATAGGAACCGGAGAAACCAGGTTTTGAAATCCAATTATTAAAGACGTTTCTCAACAGACGTAACAGTCAGTCAGTGTGCCTTTAGACAGCTTGTAGATAAATATATTACGAAATGAGGACGTACATTTCTTGCTAGAATGTATCTTAAAAAGACTTTTGGTCTCAGATGAACACAATGAAATATGTAGGATTTGAGGTTTTCATGGCAATGAGTCTGAAGATGGCTGTCTTCTGGGTTGTTGCGCCGTGTAGTATGGTAGAAGTTTACCGACGTTTCAGAGGTCCTTGCTGCCTCCATCATCAGGGAGACGTGTAATCTGGTAGATGAGTCACCCTGATGATGGAAGCAGCAAGGACCTCCGAAACGTCGGTAAACTTCTACCATACTACACGGCGCAACAACCCATAAGACAGCCATCTTCAAAATTAAATATATCACCAATTATGAAGATCATTTCCTTTGTGAGATTTCAGATTCTCACGGCGGCGATAAAGGATACGACTAGCTTCTGGAATGTTGAGCCGTGTAGACTCGTAGAAAGTTGCCGACGTTTCAGAGGTTCTTACTGCCCCCATCATCAGGATAATGAGGTGAAATAACTTATTTATCTGATTATGGAAACAGCAAGAACCTCTGGAATGTTGGCCAGTTTCTACGAGTCTATACGACTCAGTATCCCAGAAGATCGCCGTGAGAAATTGAACATTTACCGAGCTGAGATAAACCTCTTGTATTTATATCTTTCTACAAGTTTATTCAACAAAATTCATGAGTCCGTCCCACGTGATCTCTATTAGTCTCTGCGTGTGTAAACAGCTCCCTAATCTTGATAAGTTTTAATATGAATCATCTGACACTCTCTCTGGTGCTCATTTCAAGACCTTTCCTCAGAACAGTGGAGCGCTGCAAGAAGAAAGACGGCAGACTAGCGAAGTCGCTCGCTTATTAAATCACATTGCTCGCCGACAATTTGGTTTTCGCGAATCGCTTTGTCATTTTCTGCAGAGGACCTTCAAGAACACGGTTCATTAAAAATTGTACTGTGTTCACTCAGAGTGTATACATCAAAGGGCATTATTCAGAAGCGAGTTTCGTGTTTTATAAAACAATTTTAGATTGCTGAAAGGTTTTACTCAATTTTGGTTCTTGAGCTACAACGAAATTAATTATTGATTCATTATTGTAACTACCAGGCTAGTGAGAACACTACAGTTACTTTCGTCGAAGAATAACTTTCTTGAGTTTCGAAATGTTTTCTTCGTTTCCACGAAGCGCATGACATGAACGCACAGCGAGCTCGTGTTTGGGCGTACGTTCCGCCAGTAATCGCAGTCACTCGGAACCTCTCAGACGAAAACGCAAACACCCACAATATTAGGACGTGTTAATGATGACAGAAAATGAAACGTAGGCTTACAAGACTGTAAGTCCCCTGCAGTGGTATGACGTTCATACTGAATTTCATGAAAATCTGTCAGTTAACTTGTAAATGTTATGGGGCGAGGGCAAACACACGATTATACAATAAAACTGCCTTTCTTTATACAATCAGAAATTCCGATAACTAAAATTCCTTATGTCTTTAAAACGTTTCAGTCCATATGACAATAAATGAATACTATCTATAAATTAATTTCTGTCCATACCTATTATTTATACAAATTTATATTACCGGTATATAAAATTTAGTGGATATATTAAACACTTTTGCACCATCGCCATTTTTAAATTTTAAATTTATTCATAATAACAAAGTATATAGATGTAACCACAAGTTGTCGTCATACAATACTTTACAAGGTTATATCCAGTGGCTCATCAAGTAACACAATCGAATGGATAATTAAACACGGATTTCGCATTGGATCGCCACATTGTCTTACAATGCACTAACAAATTGCATTAACAAAACGTGCAATATTTTACAAGACGTACTAAAATTTAAATCTGACGATTCTATATTCTTACAAAAGAGTAAATCTCCCTCGAAATATCCTATGGCAGTCATGTTGGTATTCAAAACAGAAAATTAAAAACAATAAAGTTTACTGAGTTTCTAGTGAAATGATGTTTATGCAAAATTTTATGAAATTCCATTAAATTATTTTAAAAGGTATTAGTATGTACGGATAGACACACGAAAGGAATGGCACACTGACATGATGATGCCATATATTTATCGTGTCAAATGAAATACAGAGTAGGCTACCAGCACAACACATTGAGAAGCTGTTAAGTGAAGTGTGTAACGTTTACAGCAACTAAACTCAGCGATACATATCAATCCCATCTTCGTTCAGACAGTCCATGATACACGCAAGAAGGGATTATAGAAGAAGTCGAAGACACTTGATGAAGACATGTAACTTGAAGAAGACCACCTTCGTGTGCTGAAGTAGTTATAGATCTTAATATCTCGAACTGGATCACTGGGAATTTGTAGCTAGTTTTCTAAAATTAGTCATAATCAATACGTTATCTTATCTCGTTAAGAATTAGGTACATAAAATATCAGACCATGTTCCAACCGCTGGGGAATTGGCAGGCTTACTTAGATAAACTAATTTTGAATGCAGCCAAATATTTTAGCGTACAAAAATTATTAATTCCGATAAATATGTAGTAACTGTTATCCTCATAATCGATAATAAAAGTCTATCTCCTACAAAGGCTTCTACCCACATCCAATATTTCTTTCTCCTGGGGCAAAGACAGTAGCTTTATGAAATCAAACAAAAATATCAAAATCATTAGGAAAAGAATAAAATATTTGAAAGTAAACTGCTTCTTTCTTAATGCTATCCTAGCATTTGTTTAGCAGCAGCAGACTTTTGTCTTCGTGACGTGTTGTTTGCGTACAAGAGCATTTTTGTATGATGACCTGTCTAGTGAGAGCCCTGCAGAGCAGAGCAGAAAAGACCTCCATCATGTTCTACGAAGGTGCGTAACACAATATTCAGGTCGCATGCACAGTAGACCTTTAACAACGTGCCTTATCGCCACAGTAACACTGACAGGAAGCCATGCGATGGCACATGGGCTAGAAAACTGTCAACGGACATTCTATTTTAATACATAGTCAAAAACGATTTGCATATATTTGCATCAAATATCTGGGCCCCCGAGAAGATACCCCATTCCTTCATGTTAACTGCGTTAGCCCCGCTAGAATCTTGAAAATTAAAAATAAAAAGGCTTGTCTTACTTTCGTGCGGGAAAGCAACGGAATCGATGGGACAAAACGCATCGTTAGCCAGCTGCAGCAGGCTAACGATGCGTTTTGTCTGATCGGAAATACTGTTACAGGGTATGAAGTACCACTGAACCATGAAAGTAAGATGAAAGACTTGGGAGACGATATTTCACGCTTATATTATTATTTAAATGGGATCTGCGTAATAACATCAGTGCAACATACGAACAAACATCTAGCTCCAATCAAGGCGATATTTATATTTAATTGGTGGATTTACAAAATGCAAATCCAAATCCTTGGAAAAGTAATTTTCTGTAAGGAATGAGAACATGGAATAATATATATGTATGTGTGAGTGCCAACATTCCACTGAGAATCGTCATAAACATATAAAGCGGTGGTGTTAATGTAATATACCGCAGTGAATTCACAACCATGTAACATGCTTCTGCAATCACGCATTTGCATTTTCGCCCAAAACACACTTCACCCTTTGCCACGAAAATTAGTTTTACTGTCATGAACAAGAACCGAGAAACTACAGGTTTGGCTAAACGAAGCTGAAATTCATGGTTCTCGACTCTGTAATGGAAGTGCAGGGTTTTTAGTTACTGGTAGTCGGATTACCACATTAAAACTACGACTCCAACTTATAACAGGATAAACTGAAAACCTCATTGCATACAGATTTCATTCCTTTAATAAGAATTGCAATAGCTTTGAATGTACCAACAGACATGTAGCTTCCCACATCCACATATATTATAATTAAAATAAAATAATTTAATAATATGCCCTAGAACTTGAAA